ATGGGGCTTCTTGCCGCGGACGGAGGGGGGGGGGGGTGCGGAGGGGAGGGGGGGAGGGGGGGGAGGAGGGGAGGAGGGGAGGGTGCGGAGGGGAGGGTGGGAGGGTGGGGAGGAGGGGAGGAGGGGAGGGTGCGGAGAGGGAAGCGAGGGGAGGGTGGACGGACGGGAAGGGGGGGGGGGGAGCGGGGAGGGCGCGGGTGGCGGAGCCGCACTTTTCGCGCTCCGTCAGCTTGTCGTGGATGAAGGCGTTGGACGGATCGCCATCGGTGTCGGGGAGGGGCAGCGGCGGGGGCGCGGGGCCGCCGCCGCGGCGGTCGCCGCCGTAGCCGCCGCCGTAGCCGCCGCCGTAGCCGCCGCCGCCATACCCCCCGCGGTCGCCGCGATCGCCGTAGCCGCCGCGGTCGCCGCGGTCGCCGTAGCGCCGATCGTCCCGCTCCCGGCTCCGCCGTCCCCGCGAGCGAGACCGCGAGCGGCTACGGCGAGACTCGCGCTCGCGCTCGCGGCGGCGGCGGCGGCGGCGCTCGCGCTCCTCGGAGTCTTCGGAGTCGGAGTCGGAGCGCTCCTTCTTGTGCTTCTTCTCCTTCTTGCTCCGCCGCCGGTCCTCAGAGTCCGACGCGGAGTCTCGCGCCATCTTGTACCAGAAGCGACCGCAACACGCCCTCGCGGGGGGGGGCTGGAGTGCGGCGGCTAGACGGAGGCAAAGTGTATTCTTTTTTTGCTCGGGGCGGGAAGCTGACCTGAGCAAGCTGCTCTAGCCTCACATGTCACTTGCTGTCGTCTGTTGTTTGAGTTGTGCCCTTGTTTGTGCCCTTGGCACCGTGGAGTGCTGGGGGGGGCGACAGGGAGGATGTGGCCCTGAGTTATGTGTACGCCGACTCATGTCGCGTGTTTCTTCTGGCGCTACGCCTTGGAGGGTGGAGTGCTTTCGTGTGTTGAATAGTTTTCTAAAGTTCATGCCGTATCTGTATACTGCGTTCCTGAAGGAGCGTAGGGCGCTCGCGTACGTGACTTCGTAGACGTAGTGGAACGGTATCTGTTTGAGGTCTACGTTTGCGAAGTCGTGGTAGAATTGGTTGTACGCGTGGCGTAAGAAGGCGCGTGCAGCTTCTGGGAGTAGGGTGGTTGGGCTGCCGATGCAAAAGATGATGGCGTTGCACATGTCGGGCGGCCTCGTGATGCCGAGGATGTCGACGCAGAAGCTGATGCACCGGCGCCAATACGGTGCGGTTTTCTCGCACTCGAAGAGGTGCAGGATGCGTTCGACACACCTGTTGCACAGCCGGCACTGTTGGGGGCCTGTGAGGTAGCAGGCGGCGCACGATCGGCGGCCGATTGCTCAGGACAGCGTGCATCAGCGCGGTCATGCCGTTGCTGGCCTGCTGGTTGACCTTGGCGCCGCGTCCCAGCAGCAAGTCGACAAGCTTCTCCTGCCCGTTGGCGACAGCGTACATCAGCAGGGTGAACCCGCCAGTATCGCCCGACTTGAAGGTTGCGTCGACCTGCCCGCCGGCGGCGTGCATCCACGCCAGCACCACCGCCTCGTTGCCCTCCCCTGCCGCGTCCACAATCCTGTCCGGGACCCGGTCTGGTGAGGTCGGGCCCGTGTCCACGCGGCTGCGCCGGCGAGCCATCTCGGCTGCCACCGCCGATACGTCTGGAGCAGTGATGAATGGAGCAGCAACCCCCGCTCCGGGTCGAGTTGCCCGAGTGCGATTCGGTTGCAACAGCGTTTCTCGCATTATTCCTTGCGCGGCGCTGGGGAGCCCCTCGGAAAGCACGCGGAGCAGACCTGCTTCCGCGTCTTCAGCCGGGCGCGCTCTCCCACTCCCATCCTCAGGCAGCCGCCCCGTCGCCTCGCGGAATTCTTGCAGGAGCGCCTTGCACGCCTGCAAGGTCGCGTCGTCCAGGTGCCCGCCCGTCTCCTCGGCCCGCTTCATCATCATCCTGACTTTGTCGGCCCTGCGTGACGGGTCCCCTGACATGACCGTCTCCGACTTGTCACCCGTTGTTTGACTGGGTTTTGGGGTGCTCGAAGAACTCTGCCAGGGGCCCCTCCACTCGCCTGCACCTGCTCGAACCCTGAGCACTGTGCAGCGTTGCACGCGTTGCATGAATGCACGTTGAGTTGTACGAAGGTGGTAGTAATTATTGTCTTGAGTATTGCGCGTCTCTCGACCGAGAGCGCTAGCCTCTACCCCTTCGGTCCGTCGAATCTCGGCGCGGCAGATGCGACGCCGAGACTGACGAAACCTCCCTGGTGGTGGGCTGCTGAGCCTCCCACACACACGAGAACACCACAGGGACACCCGTGACACCCTAGACAACACATGCCACGAGGCGGGATGAGACTAGATGTCTCTCGGACGAGACTCGTCACTCGACGGAAACCTAAGTCGTGAACATCGGGTTGCTGCGCGGCGGGTCAACCCCATTGTGCGCAGTCATCCAGATGTCATCTGCACCTAAGACAGTCGCCGGCGTGGGCGGGAGGGGCGACTGTATCTAGTAGGCGCGGTAGCGGTGACGGGCGCGAGCCACAGCTGGCAAGATGCGGATCGCCATCGAGACCTTGCTCGAGCCGCGGCGGGGCCCTGAAAGTGGAGCGTGTCAGGATCGGCTGCTCGGCTGTGAACTGACCTCGCTGTGAATGTCACCGCCGTCACAGACACTATTGTCCATGAATGGTAAGACTGATAGTAGAGTAGAATCGGGTCGAGCGACCGGCCCAGTCGACCGTCCCCGCTCCCCTCAGCAGAGCGGGCGAGAATCCTAACGGATTCACGCCTCAGGTGCCGTCCTCCCATCCCTCCCTTGGATTACCTTTTCTTTTTCTTTTTTAGATCTATAACGGGACGGCGGAAAGACTTCACAAAATTGAAATGCTCGACTCGCCGGATGTGTGTGACGGCGAGACTGAGAAAGTACATACGCGAGGGGTGGGACGTGCTCACCGCTCCGCTGTCACGTCAGCGCATCATGATCTCTTTGAAGACGAGCTGGTCCACCCACATGCAATCGTTGAGCCGCTCTCGGCCGACGAGCATCGTCAGCTGGCGCCGCACCTCCCTCTCGGGCACATCCTGCCCACGCGCCTCGGTGAGGTACGCGTACACGGGCGGGAAGAGGTCGCCCAGCGCCTCACGACACTTGTCCTGCAGCGCCGGCACCGCCGGCCGCGGCGGCGGCGCCGCCGCCGGCGGCGGCCGCGGCGGCGCCTCCTCGTGGGAGAGGGAGGTCGGCGAGAAGGAGGAGGAGGAGGCGCGGTGAGGGGGTGCGCTCGGCCCTCGCGGGTACTCGGCGAGCGCGCTCAGCGCCTCGCTCGACGCGCCTCGCCCGTACTCGTGCGCCGCCGCCCGCTCGGCCAGCCCGGCGGTGGAGGAGCGGCGCGACGCGGCGAGGGCGAGCCGGTCCTGCGACAGCTGCGCCTGAAGAGGAGTGGCGCGGGGGGGCGTCAGAGGAGAGGTGGCGAGGGCGGCTGCTGCGCCCCGAGGCCGGGCGAGAGGAGCGACGCGGGAGGTGTGCGGCGGCGGGTGTGCGGGGTGCAGTCTCACGCTCTGCGCCAAGAGGCGCGGGCACGCGCGAGCCACGAGAACTGGCTAGGCGGGGAGGCGATCGGACGCAGCAGGGTACGCGTTGCCGCCTCGAGTGCTAGTTGAATGCAGACAGCTATCTCTACGCCGCGGCGCCTGCGCCGCCTGCTGCAGCAGCCGCTGCCGCTCCGCCGCGTCGCGCGCGTTCGAGTCCCTCGCGGCAGCGGCGGCGCGTTGGGTTCGCTGCAGCATCGCGGGGTCGTGCTTCAGCGTCGCCTCGTACTCGTCAAAATCGTCCTCGTACGCCCCCTCCTCCTCCTCGTCGTTGTCCTCAGCCCCAACGCCTCCCGCGCAAGAACCGGCCCCGGCCCCTCCGTCGCCGCCTCCGCCACGCTGCGCCCAGCCCTGCAGCCCCGCTGGCGCCGGCGTGCGCCCCCTGCTGGGCGCCTGCTCGCTACCGAGCTTCGCCCGAGGGCCCTCCTGCGGCAGCGCAAACGTGAGGCACGTGAGGCAAGCGTCTCCACACACGCGCGCAAGCGCAACCCTGGCTCTACCCCCCTCGGTGGCTCTCTCCCCCTCCCCACCCTGTGACATGACATCAAAAGCCCCCCCGCGGCGTTGAGAGTGCGATGTGCCCCCGTTGAGAGTGCGACGGGGGCAAAGGATGGGTCTGCCTGCGACGGCGGCCTCCAGCCAAGGGGAGGCCCGTCCGAGGCAGAGCGCGAGTGGGAGGCCTACAGTGGGTGCACACCAGAGTGAGGGGGGGCGAAAGGACAGGATCGAAGGTGCGCAAACAGTGAGTCCAGCTGCGCGTCCTCTCCCGCGCTGGTTGGAATACACGGGCGGCTCCGTATTCCGCATCTAGGACGGCATGCCGGTCGCTCCGGCCGGCTAGACGGCAGCGACGGCGTGGGGGAGTGCATCGGCGACGGCTGCGGCGGCGAGTGCAGGCGGCTGGTGGAGGGGGAGGCCGCGCCGACCGGCTCGACGCCACTCCCCCGCGCGCGGTGCTCCTGCGGCCGGTAGTGCGGCGACGGCTGCGGCAAGTGCGACGGCGGCGGCTGCACGGGCGGCGTCCCGGCGCGGAACGGCAGCGGCGACCCCGCCAGCGATGCTGCGGCGGAGGGGGCAACGTCCCACCCGCCCGCGCCGCCCGCGCCGCTGCGCATCGTGCTGCCGGCGGCGGCGCACGCCGCATTCCCCGGCGCGCACGACGCGTCCAAGTTGGACCGGAGCTGCATCGAGCGGATGCCCTTTGCGATCTCGCGGTTCTCCGAGATGGAGCTGCGCGCGTGCCTAGAAGGTTCCTAGAAGCTTCCTAGACGGCTCCTACAAACCTCTCCGAGATGGAACCGGGTGCGTGCCTCTGTAGCTCGACCGACCGCCGGTCCGCGTCCGCCAGCTTGCGCCGCCTACGCTCGGCCGGTCTCGTGTGACCTCCGCGCCGACCGCCGGTCTCCGCCTCCGCCAGCCGCCTCATCCGCTCTGCCGGAGTGAGCTCTCCATCGCCCGACGCAGAGCCGCGGCAAGACTCCTCGGCAATGGTCTCGTACCCTCCCGAGCCGAGCTGCTCGGCCGACGAGCCGCGGTCAGCGAAGGAGCTCACCTAGAAGGTTCATAGAGGGCTCCTGGAAGCCTCCTGGAAGCCTCCTGGAAGCCTCCTAGAAGGTCAGCGAAGGGGCCCACCGAGCTGCGGCGCGGCGGAGGCACCCCGAACCGCTCTGTCGCGCCGAGCGCGTCTCCGCCTGTGACCGGAAGATGGATGAGGCGGGGTGGATGCCGCGTGGGGAGGGAGTGCGGCGGAGCACGTGTCCTCTCGAGTGCGGCATGTACCCGCGAGTCGGGCCGCGCGCATCTCTCTTTCGCATCTGCAGCCTCCGCCAGGAGAGGCTGGCCTCAGCTCCTCGCGCCGGAGCGGCGGGTGCTCCGCGTATTCGGGCGCGAAAGACGCGGCGCGGCGGGCGGCGGGCGGGGTGGGGTTGCCCTCAGGGGAGTGGGAGGACGGCCCCGCGGCGGCGAAGGAGCGGCGCGGCGCCGGCGCCGGCATGAGCCTCTCCCCCGACGACGACGCCGAGCCCGAGTCTCTCGAGCGGTCGGCGGACGGGACGAGGGACGCGCGGCGGGCGGTCCCGCTCTGGGGCCGGCTGAGCGGCGCGCTGGCGGCGCCCGCCCGCGCCTCGCCCGACGAGAGCCCTCCAGAGGAGGGGCGCCGCGTGGCAGACCCGATCGGCTGCCGCATTGTTCGGCTCCCGCCGTTGCTGCTGCTGCTGCTGCTGCTGCCGCCGCTGCCTCCGCCTCCGCCTCCGCCTCCGCCTCCGCCTCCGCCGCTGCCGCCTCCGCCGCCTCCGCCTCCGCCTCCGCCGCCGCGGCACGAGGAGCCGGGCGCGGCGGCGCGCTGTGGTGTGCGCGCACCGGCGGCGGTCTCGTCGCGCCCTTGCGGCTGGCGCGGTGCGGCGAGCATTGACGCGGGCGCCGACTGCGCGAGCTGCGAGGTGAGGAACTCGCGCACAAACGGCGTGGCGAGTATGTCGTCGAGCGACGGTCGGTGCTCGGGCTGCTTGGCGAGCATCCGGCCGACGAGCTCGCGCAGCCGAGGCGAGTACGACTCGGGCAGCGGCGGGTACTTTTGCTGCACGATCTTGTACACCAGCCCGAGGAGGTTGGAGCCGTTCCAGGCCTGCTGCAGCGCGCACATCTCGTAGAGAATGCAGCCGAGGGCCCAGACGTCAGACTTGAACGAGTACGGCTGGTTCTGGCACACCTCGGGCGACATGTAGTACGGCGTCCCGATCACCGTGCTCGCCGCCGCCATCGACCCCTCCATCACCTTTGCGATGCCGAAATCGCCGAGCTTGATGAGCGCGCGCCCGTTGTGATGCGCGATGAAGATGTTTTGCGTCTTGAGGTCGCGGTGGAGGATGCGCTTGGAGTGGACATAGCGCAGCGCCATCACCATCTGCACGAACCAG